CTCTCTCTCTCTCTCTCTCTCTCTCTCTCTCTCTCTCTCTCTCTCTCTCTCTCTCTCTCTCTCTCTCTCTCTCTCTCTCTCTCTCTCTCGCCTCCTACCTTCTCAGTCTAGTCTACTTCTGGGTTGTCCTACGGGACTGCTATAAGTATGAAAGATGGTTACGAATTCTGATGACATTGGAGACAACGACATTGGGCTGTAGGTTGAGGACTACTTGTGGGATCTGATTTCATCTGCCTCTGGAGATGTACTTGACATTGTGAGATCGATATTTGAGACATTGTGGGACACTGTATTCGCGACATTTTGGACTTTCGCCATCTTTGACATTTCAAGATACTATCTTTGGAAACATTGAGTTGACGTCATCTTCCCTCTCCTCCTCCCTTCGTCTCTCTCCTCCCTCCATTCGTCCGGGGATGATCTCAGAACCTGGCCTTTCGTCTATGTCGAAGGCCAGGGCTTTCACACCCCTGATGAATGGTTGAGAGTGTTCGATTGCAATCCGAGTCAGGTCAAAGTCAGTCCATGTATCTCAAGTCTTCCGCTGTATTTGTATTCACTCTGTATTATGTGGTCAGTTCAAGGAATCTGCGCCATACTTATGACTGTGTTTCACGAGTATGCAACATTCTCCCACCTCTCTTCCGGCCTCCTCCACCTCCTCCTCCTCCTTGCATGACCTCCTCCTCCCCCTCACGCTGTCGGAGGGTGCGGTGTCCCGACCCTCCATGGCATATTAGTCACAACTTACGCGTGGGTAGTTTTCGACCAACTGCTGTACCAGGGACTTTGAAGAGGGATATGGGAGGAGGACGGAGATTCCCTACAACTCGGATCCAAAGAACTTCACAGGTGAGTTCAGCCCCATACGGGCGGAAGAAGAGGTGGATGAGGAGGAGGAAGTACAAGAGGTCATAGAGATCAGTAGTAGGGATGAGAGGGATGAAATCTCGAGGCCTGGAGAAGAGAGGCGGCCCCCGATACACCAACCGCGCGAAGAGGGCTTCAGATGGGAGAACAAGTTTGGGCCAACGCCCAGTCATTGGTTCCAACGATGGCTCGGTGTGACCAAACACGAGTGGATTATCAAGACCCGGGAACTCATAAGGGCAGGGGTGGTAGCCACATCTTTGGATTTCTATAGTGAAATGAAGTTGCGAGAGATTTTGAGGAGGAGGAGAGAAATCATGGCCTCCGACCTGGGGGTTAAAAAGCCAGCAGAAAGACAAGACGAACATGAGACCGAGCAAGTTGAGGCACATGACAACAATAGGGATTAGATGTTGTTCAGTGTCGGACGAGAAATTGTGATTTCCTTTCTTTTGCAAACATGGGATGACAGGGTTTGTGTGATATGAGTAAGCTTGTGAGGAATGTGGGATAAAAGGACTAGCTAAGACTGAGTCACGATGGGTTAAAAGATGGCATTTTGAGGCTACTTTCTGGATGAACTACCTTCGAAAGTGTGTAGACAAGACAATGACACGAGACATGCGATGAGACTGGTTGGGAAGGGTGCATTGTGAACTGAGGATTGTGCCTTTGAGAAGAAAAACTGTGAGTACAGATTGACGAGCAAAGCAAGACGTGAATGTTGGTCGAGTACAAGAGAGGTTAGGGAACCTATGGGTTAAGGGGCGTGAAGAGCACTCCTTCCCTAGGAGCCTAATCCAACTGAGTCATGAATGAATCTAAAAATAGCCAAAATCTGAGAAACTAGAAAGAGTGAAATAGAGGGGGTGCCCCGGTCTTTTTGCTATGGTTGAACGGCCGGGTGGGCTAGTGCTGCTTGGGGCTGCGAACCTCAATTTGAGCCACTAGACGCTAAGTCGGATGTCTGCACGAACAACAAATGATATTGAGAAATGGACAAAGGAAACCGCACGCGTAAAATTGCAAGAAATGACCACCTTCTAACCCCTCGAGACAGTAATGGGATCCGTGTCCTCAAGGCCCGCCCCCTCGGGCGCTAAGATTGAGAATGGAAAGGAATGTGACCCTAACCAGGCTGTTCGACTTGAGAATGGAAAGGAATGGCCCTAACCAGGCTGTTCGACTTGAGAATGGAAAGGAATGGCCCTAACCAAGCTGTTCGACTTGAGAATGGAAAGGAATGGCCCTAACCAGGTTGTTCGACTTACTAA